AGCTACTGTGTCTCTGGGCAGAGAGAGGAGACTAGGATTGGGGATTGTGGTCAGACTTTACCTTATATTTAAATATTTAATAAAGGGAGAATAGTCATATGCTACTGTGGGAATTCTAAGTTAATTAAAAGAGGTAGAGGGCAATAACCAAACGAGTGTGGTTGAGGCAAGGTCAGTTAGTGAGGCCTGGGGTTCTTACCAGCTATGCAGCCCCAGAGAGAAGTAGCTCTCCTGAGCCCTAGGACTCAAAAAAACATAGGCTGGAAACTGCATATCCAGTCCAACTTTTTCTTTAAGTTTGTTTGTTTGTTTGTTTGTCTATTTATTATATTTTCTTTCACTCAGCATAATTTGAAATTCATCTGTGTTATTGCATTTACCAATTTTTTTTAATTGCTTAGTTTTTCCATTGTATGGATGTACCACAGTGTGTTTACCTGTTTTGAATGATGATTGTTCTGTAGTTTAGCTGTCTGATTGATGGAAATTTGGGTTGTTTTCAGTTTTGGGCAATTACAGATAAAGCCGCTATGTACAACTGTTTGTAGGACACATGCCTTTTTTGTCTTGGGAAAACAACTAGAAGTAAAATGGCTGAGAATATGTCTTTCTTTAAGATCTTAGCAAGACATTTGTGAACACTAATAACTTTCAGTTACAATCTGATAAACTAAAAAGTAGAGAGTAGAATTTTAGGCAAAGGGCTCTTAAAATAATACAAAAATTATTTTAAAAACTAGCAATGTTCTATTTTTATTAAAATTTGTAAAATTTTATATAATCTTTACATTATAAAATCTAATTTTGGTTAATATTGTCAGCTGACTGTGTGTGTGTGTGTGTGTGTGTGTGTGTGTCTTTTTTTATTTAAATGATTTTTTACTTTTCAACTGCAGTTGACATACAGTATTATATTAGTTTTAGGTGTATACCCCAGTGATTAGACATTATATAACTTACTGATTACCCCAATAAATTTTGTACCCATCTGACACCATACATAGTTATTAGAATATTATTGATTATATTTCCTGTGTTTTACTTTACATCTCCATGACTTTTCTGTAACAATTGATTGGACTTCTTAATCCCTTTACCTTTTTCACCTACTCCCCCCAAACTCCCACCCATCTGGCAACCATCAAAATGTCTTCTGTATCTGTGAGTTTATTTCTGCTCTGCTAGTTCATTTATTTTGTTTTTTAGATTCAATTGTTGATAAATATATATTTATTGCCATTTTATTGTTCATATTTTTTTATCTCTTTTCCCCCCTCTTCTTCTTAAAGAAAACATTTTAACATTTCCTATAATACTGATTTGGTGGTGATGAACTCCTTTAGCTTTTTCTTTTCTGGGTGGCTCTTTGTATGTCCTTTGATTCTAAATGATAGCTTTGCTGGATAGAATAACCTTGGTGGTAGGTCCTTGCTTTTCATCATTTTGAATATTCCTTGCTCATCCCTTCTGACCTGCAAAGTTTCTGTTGAGAGATTAACTGGCAGTCTTATGGATGTTCCCTTGTAGGTAACTAACTGCTTTTCTCTTGCTGTTTTTAAGATTCTCTCTTTGTCTTTAACTTTTTGCATTTTAATTATGAAGTGTATAAGTGTGGGCCTCTTTAGTTCATCTTGTTTGGGACTCTGCATTTCCTGGACTTGTATGTGTATTTTCTTCATCAGGTTAGGGAAGTTTTCTGTCTTTTTTTTTCAAATAGGTTTTCAATTCTTTGCTCTCTCTCTTCTCCTTCTGGCACCCCATGATGCAAATGTTGGTATGCTTGAAGTTGTTCCAGAGGTTCCTTACACCAGCTTCTTTTTTTTTTTTGTATTTTTTTCTTTTTGCTGTTTTGATTGGGTGTTTTTTGCTTCTTTATATTCCAAATCACTGATTTGAGTCTTAGCTTCTTCTGCTCAATTGTTGATTCCCTGTAATGCATTCTTCATTTCAGTTATTGTATTCTTCATTTCTGACTGGTTCTTTTTTATGGTTTCTATCTCCACTTTTATGTTTCCTGTCTCTTTATTGAAGTTCTCACTGAGATCACTGAGCATCCTTATAACCAGTGTTTTAAACTCTGCATCCAGTAGCTTGCTTGTCTCCATTTTGTTTAGTTCTTTTTCTGGAGGTTTTTTTTTTTTTTTTCCATTTGGGACACGTGTCTTTGTTTCCTCATTTTGCGGCCTCCCTGTTGTGTTCGTTTCTGTGAATTAAGTAGAACTCCAGCATCTCCTGGGCCTGATAGAATGGCCTTATATAGTAGATGTTCTATAGGGTCCAGTGGCACAGCCTCCTTGATCACCCAAGCTGGGCACTCCAGGTGCACTCTCCCCACCCCCACCATGTGGGCTATATGCCCTCCTGTTGTAGTTGTCTTAATTGCTGCTGGCACGTAAGTGGGAGGGATATACTGGCAGGCTGCAGTACTGGCTATGACCACCAACCATTATAGAGGGTCAGCTGTATAGAGGCCTGCCACTTGGAGCAGGACTTATTTCAACAGGTGTCTGGTGCCTACTGAGTCTGCCCCTTAAGTATGTCACTTGTGGAGGTAGTTGAGTGTTGCTTTGATGTGGTCTGAAGCTATCCACTGGTTGTGTTGACTCTTGGGGCCTCCCAGAAGGTGCAGGCAAAGGTCATCTGCTACCTGTGTTCTGTCTGGGGCCACCTGGCATAGGCTACAAAGCAATCTGAAGATGGCTGCTATTTGTCTTGGCCTTGGAGATGCTTGGGAGAGGCCAAGGTGTGAAACAAGGGCAGCTGCTGCTAATTTCGGGCCTGTGTCCATTTAGCGAGAGGTATGGGGTACACTGAAGCCAGATGCTGCTTGTTTGAGAGGTTTTAGGAAAGTCTGAAGTGTGAGCCAAAATAGGCCATTCCTATGTTAAAGCCACTGGAAACAAATTGGGTGGATCTATCTAAAAGTTGGGTAAGGCAGGGTCTCAGGGGATCACTAGGGAGGGGGAACAGTGTGAACCAAGTGGATGGAGACTCAGATATGGCACCTGCCTGCTGGCTTTGTTGGAGGCAGGGCTCAGAAAAAGAACAGTGGCCTCTGCCAGTACTTCTGTCTGGGAGAAAGCTGTCGCCGCACCCCCCCCCCCCCCCCAGCTCTCACCCTGATGCCAGACAGTTCATTTCTTCCCTGAATGTCCCTGGTACCTTTTGAGGGGCTGTCCCAGCCCTGGAGCTCAGAAGGAGTAAGTCTGCTTGCAGGCTTTAAGAGGAACTGCCTGGGACTCTAGAAGCCCTCTGTCTTAGCCAGAATCCCCGCTGGTTTTTATAGCGGGGCTTTTCTTCCTGGCACTGGAACCCTGGGCTGGGGGTTCTGGTGTGGGGCTGGGACCCCTCATTCCTCAGGGAGGACCTCTGCAGCTGAGATATTCCTCCAGATTTTTATCTGCCACACATAGGTATGGGACGAGCTAGTTCTGCTGCCCCTCCTACCAATCTGGATGTGGCTTCTTTAAATCCCTAGTTGTAGGACTTCCATTCGGCCAGATTTTATGCAGTTTTGAATGATGGTTGTTCTGTAGTTTAGTTGTCTGATTGCATCCTAATAGAGTACCTATAACATAGTATTTGTTTTTACAGAGTGTATCGAACTTTGTGGATTGAACTTATAAATGTTGATACCAAAGCATATAGGTAGTAACTGAAGAATTTTATTCATTTCCATTGTCTTTTAAAATTTAAGTTTGTCATATAGTACGTAAAATGTATAAGAAATTGCAGCCCTGGCCGGTTTGGCTCAGCGGTTAGAGTGTCGGTCCACAGACCAGAGAGTCCCGGGTTTGGCTCCTGCTAAGAGTACGTACCTCGGTTGCAGTTTGTCCCGGCCCTGGTTGGGTCGTGTGGGTGGCAGCTACTTGATGTGTCCCTTTCACGTCGATGTTTCTCTCTCTCTCTCTCTCCCCCTCCCACTCTATCTGAACAAAATATCGAAAAGTGTTCTCGGGTGAAGATAAAAAAAGAAAAAGAACTTACATGTGTTTTTTAATATTTTCTCAAAAATGTTAAACATTTTAAGAACTTATAAATGTCTGAACTTGAACTGAGTGGAAAAGCACATGAAGGACTTGAGGAAATTTAATGAAAAATTATAATAATCAAATAGAAATGAAGCCCTTTGTATTGAGCTCACACTTACAGAACTCTTAAGTGCCTGCCATTGTTTCAAATATTTTACATGTTTTAACACATTTAACTGTGTGATGTCAGAGATAGGGTACACTGGTTAGAAAGGGTTAAGAATGAGAACTAACTCTAATAGAAGTTTTGAACAATGTGAAAAGAACATATGGAAATGTATGTTACAGTGTGAACACTGACATAAATTTGGATATTTGGTCATCACATGTATACCTTTTATTTATTTTATTCAAATGTCTGTTTATTCAGAGATTACTGTTAAGTTTTTCCTTTTTAGTGAGATTCAACAAGTCAGAGACTTTCAGCCAGTTATTTTTATTTTCTAAAACTTGTGTTTTAGTAACCATTTTTAAAGAGTTATGTGGTTGGCCCCCTTGTATCTGAGAAAATGATGTTGCTAATGTTGTTTGATGAGATATATGAATAAATAAAATTGTGAATATTTTACTTAAAGCTACTGAAATTTGCTAGAATAGCTTGATTGTGCTTCTTTGATGATTGGTTCCACTAACAGCACTCAGTGGTTCTGGGTAGTCGATATTCTACAATACTGTATCTAGTTTGAAATGAGAGGGATCTGGGGAAGAGGATATAAAGCATAACAAAAATTACTGAGTGAAAATATCTTAGCTAAAACAATGCTATTCCAAATACAAGGGATACCCATATATTTTTTGCCCAATGAGATCTTCTGAAATTGTGTGGTTTAGGGTTTCTCTTCAATCTATCTCTTGAATGAAATTCCTTTGGGATATAAAGATAATTTACTTGGTTTACAATATTGTGAGTGTGTGAATTTTTTTTTATATTTTTCAGTATTTAAAATTTTTTTTGCCTTATTTGCCTAGGGAGTTGGAGTCTCAGTTCATGGGCTATTCCGAGTGGCTACCGAAAAGTCTCTTTTTGCAATGCCAGAAACTGCAATAGGTAAAAAAAGAACAACAAAAACATTCAAAACTTTTTCATAATTACTTTTAAATCATCTTGTTTTGATGCATTTCAGATTATACTGTTGTTGAAGAAATTGATGGATTCTTATGTGAGATACAGAACTTAGATAACTTTTAAAAAGAAATTAGAATCTAAAAGTTTATATTACTAGATCAATAAGTATATTTGACAACATAAAAGAAAGAATATTTAACTGGAGACACCAACACACTGTAGTTAATTTTACATAAAAGATTATTAGGGGAAAATATTCTTGCATTCAGTTCTGTGTACTTTTTTGAATTATATTTTGCATGTGCTGTGAGGAATGGATCAAAGATATAGATCTAAGTTGATTATTTCACATATTGAGATACTGTCATTGTTCCTACACCATTTTTTGAAAAAGCTATTTCCTTCATTCATTGACTTTCCACATTTTTCTGTATGTGTTTATCTCTGTGCCAATATTATGCTGTCTTTATCGCTGTTGCTTTATAGTAAGTCTTGATAATTCTCCAATTTTGTCCATCCCTTCCCATCCCCCCATGCCAAGTAGTTTTGGCTATACAGATGTTTTGGATTTCTACATGAATTTTTAGAGTGTGTCAATTTTTTTAAAAAGCCTTCTAGAATTTTGATTTGGATTATCTAGAGTTTATTAATTTAGGGAGAATTGACATCATATGATATTATTGAGTAAGTTACATTTATTTAGGTCTTCTTTAATTTCTTTAAGCCAAGTTTTGTAGTTTTCAGTGTATAGGTTTTATACAGTCATTGTCAGATTTGTTTTTAAGTATTTTATATTGTTTGATACTATTGTAAATGATATATATTTTTAAATTAATTAACTTATTTTTGTTACAGATGTTTCTCCCTTTTCCCCACTGATACCTCCCAACCTCTCCCTCCCTGCCCTGTCCTCAGCTTTGTTGTCCATGTCCATTGTTCATGAATACATGCATATAAGTTCTGTGGTTTATCTCTCTCCTCCTCCCCCTGTTCTGGGAATTGTCATTCTGTACCCCACTTCTACGTCTCTGGGACTACCCTGTTGCTCAGACTGTTATGTTCATTATATTCCACAAATAAGTGAGATCATGTGGTATTTGTCTTTCTCTGCTTGGCTGGTTTTGCTTAGGATAATACCCTCCAGGTCCCTCCAGGTCCTCTCAAAGGATAAGAGATTTTTCTTTCTTACAGCTGCATAGTACTCCATTGTGTATATGTACCACTGCTTTTTTATCCATTTGTCTACTGATGGACATTTGGCTGTTTCCAGGTCTCAGCTATTGTAAATAGTGTTGGTATAAACATGGGGGTACATATATTCTTTCTGACGGGTGTTTTAGGCTTCTTAGGGTATATACCTACACTTGGGATCACTGGGTCAAATGGAAGTTCAATTTTTAATTTTTTGAGGTAACACCATATTGTTTTCCATAGTGGCTGCACCAGTCTGCATTCCCACCAGCAGTGTACTAGAGTCCCCTTTTCTCCACACCCTCGCCAACACTTGTTTTTTAATGATTTGTTGATGGCGGCCATTCTGACAGGTGTGAGGTGATTCCTCATTGTTGTTTTAATTTGCATCTCTCTGATGATTAGTGATGTTGAGCATTTCTTCATATGTCTCTTACCTATTTGTATGTCGTGTTTGGTGTCTATTTAGTTCCTCTGCCCATTTTTAAATTGGGTTCTTTGTCTTCCTTTTGTTGAGCTGTATGAGCACTCTATATATATTGGAAATTAACCCCTTATCTGATGTATCCTTGGCAATTATGCTCTCCCATACAGTGGGTAGCCTTTCCGTTTTGATGATTGTATCTTTCGCTGTGCAGAAGGTTTTGAGTTTGGTGTAGTCCCATGTGTTCATTTTTTCCTTTGTTTCTGTTGCCTTAGGTGATGTATCAGTGAAAGTTCTGCAGCATATGATGTCTGAAATTTTTTTGCCTACATTTTCTTCTAGGAGTTTTATGGATTCATGAGTCACATTTAAGTCTTTTATCCATTTTGAGTTTATTCTTGTGTATGGTATAAGTTGATGGTCTAGTTTCTTTTTTTTTTTTTTTGCATGTAGCTGTCCAATTTTCCCAGCACCATTTATTAAAGAGGCTGTCTTTACTCTGTATGCTCTTGCCACCTTTGTCAAATATTAATTGAGCATATTGTCTTGGGTCCATTTCTGGGTTCTCTGTTCTGTTCCACTGATCTATCTGCCTATTCTTGTGCCAGTACAAGGCTGTTTTGATTACAGTGGCTTTGTAGTACAACCTGAAATCTGGCAATGTGATCCCTCCAACTTTGTTCTTCTTTTTCAAGATTGCTGTGGCTATTCGGGGTCATTTTTGGTTCCATTTGAACTTTTGAAGTATTTGTTCTAGTTCTGTGAAGTATGTTGTTGGTATTTTGATGGGGATTGCATTGAATCTATAGATTGCTTTGAGTAGTATGGACATTTTAATGATGTTAATTTTTCCAATCCATGAACAAGGTATGTGCTTCCACTTTTTTATATCTTCCTCTATTTCTTTGTTCAATGACCTGTAGTTTTCTGCGAATAGATCCTTTACTTTTTTGGTTAAGTTTATTCCTAGGCAACTTAATTTTTTTTGCTGCAATGATAAATGGGATTGTTTTTTTTTAGTTTCTCTTTCTGTTAGTTCATCATTGGTGTATAAAAATACCGTTGATTTCTTGAGGTTAATTTTGTATCCTGCTACTTTTCCAAATTAATTTATTAAGTCTAGTAGATTTTTGATGGAGTCTTTGGGGTTTTCTACGTATAGTATCATGTCATCTGTGAATAATGAGAGTTTCACTTCCTCCTTTTCAATTTGGATCCCTTTTATTTTTTCTTCCTGTCTGATTGCTGTGGCTAAGACTTCCAGTACTATGTTAAATAAAAGTGGCTAAAGTGGGCATCCTTGTCTTGTTCCTCTTCTTAAGGGAAATGCTTTTAGTTTTTGCCCATTGAGTATGATGTTGGCCGTCGGTCTTTCCTATATGGCCTTTACTATGTCCAGATATGATCCCTCTATTCCCAGATTGCTGAGCGTTTTTTTCAGAAATAGGTGCTGGATTTTGTTGAATGCTTTTTCAGCGTCTATTTATGTGATCATATGATTTTTATCTTTCATTTTGTTTATGTGGTGTATCACATTTCTTTTTTTTTTTTATCCTCACCCGAGGACATTTTTTCATTTTTTGTTTAGGTAGAGTGGGAGGGAGAGAGAGGAAGAGAGAGAGAGAGAGAGAAACATTGATGTAAAAGGAACACATTGAGTGGCTGCCACCCGCACAACTGACCAGGGCTGGGGACAAACTACAACCGAGGTACGCGCCCTTAGTGGGAACCGAACCCGGGTCTCTCAGGACCGCAGGCCGACGCTCTAACCGCTGAACCAAACCAGCCAGGGCTATGTGGTGTATCACATTGGTTTGCAAATATTATACCAGCCTTGCTTCCCCTGGGATGAATTTCACTTGGTCATGGTGAATAATGTTTTTGATGTATTGCTGGATTCAAGTTGCTAGTATCTTTTATTTTTTTTATCCTCACCTGAGCACATTTTTCTATTTTTAGTTCAGATAGAGTGGGAGGGAGAGAGAGAAACATCAGTGTGAGAGAGACACATCCAGCGGTCGCCACCCACACAACCCAACCAGGGCCGGGGACAAACTGCAACTGAAATATGCACCCTTAGCGGAAACTGAACCTGGGCCTCCCTGGACCGTAGTCCAATGCTCTAACTACTGAGAAAAACCTGCCAGGGCCAATTTACTAGTGTTTTGTTCAGGATTTTGGCATCTATGTTCATCAGGCATATTGGCCTGTAGTTTTCTTTCTTTGTAGTGTCTTTTTCTGGTTTTGGAATTAGAATTATGCTGGCCTCATAGAACGAGTTTGGAAGTCTTCCTTCTTCTTGAATTTTTTGAAATAGTTCGAGGTGAATGGGTATTAGTTCTTTTTTGAATGTTCTGTAAAATTCCCCCGTGAAGCTGTCCGGGCCTGGGCTTTTGTTTGCTGGGAGAGTCTTGATTACATCTTCAATTTATTTTGTTGTTATTGGTCTGTTCAAGTTTTCTATCTCTTCCCGGTTCAGTTTTGGGAGACTCTGTGTTTCTAGAAATTTGTCCATTTCACTTAGATTGTTGAATTTGTTGCTGTATAATTATTCATATTTGTTAAAAATCCTTTGTATTTCTGTGGTGTCAACTATTATTTCTCCTCTTTCTTTTCTGATTTTTGTGTATATGGGTTCTCTCTCTTTGTTTCTTGGTGAGTCCAGCTAAGGGTCCATCAATCTTGTTTATCTTTTCAAAGAACCAGCTCTTTGTTTTCATTGATCCTTTAAATTGTTTTTTTGGTCTCTATGTCATTTCTTTCTGCTCTGATCTTTACTATTTCCTTCCTTCTACTTGTTCTGGGGTTTTCTTTCTTTTTTTTTTTTTATCCTCACCCGAGGACATTTTTCCATTTTTTGTTCAGGTAGAGTGGGAGGGAGAGAGAGGAACAGAGAGAGAGAGAGAGAAACATCGATATGAAGGGACACATTGAGTGGCTGCCACCCGCACGACTGACCAGAGCCGGGGACAAACTGCAACCAAGGTACATGCCCTTAGCGGGAACCGAACCCGGGTCTCTCAGGACCGCAGGCTGGCGCTCTAACCGCTGAGCCAAACCGGCCAGGGCTGGGGTTTTCTTTTTGTTTGCTTTCTAGTTCTTTAAGTTGTGAGGTTAGATAGTCTATTAGAAATTTTTCTTGTTTCTAGAGGTAGGCCTATATTGCTATGAACTTCCTTCTCAGAACTGCTTTCGCTGCATTCCATAGATTTTGTGTTGTTGTGTGTTCGTTTTCATTGGTTTCCAGGAAGTTTTTAATTTTTTCCTTGATCTCCTCGGTAACCTGTTTATTTTTCAAATGCATGCTATTTAGCCTCCATGTTTTCAAATGTCTCTGCATGTTCTTGTTGCAATTGATTTGTAGTTT